GTTTAGCCTCTCTGAACTTCCATTAAACAGAGATAATACCTACCTCATAGTGTTGTTTTGAGAGTTACATGAGACACTATATGCACAGTTCTTACAAAACAGTATTAAACAACACACATAAAACATACAAATATGTAATTACATATAAATACTTAGTGCTCATATTTTTTTTATCATTCATCTCTAGATATCTTCTTCTTCTTAATCTAGGTCCTTGCTACTTCAAAGCATACTTTAAAGAATAACTAAATGTTTCTGTGGCCAGGTAATATTTGCCAGAAACTTGTTTTTTTTTTTTTTAATCAGGGTACAAAATTTTAGTTTTTAAGGTTACCTTTATCAAAACTATGGCTAAAATAGTTGTGGAGCTGCTCTAATTTGAACAGATGGCTTTTTTTTTTTTTTTGGTATAAATTCTTTTGGCAACCATTTTCTGATCTTATTACAATAAAAATTTTCAAAAGAAGTTTCCATTTTATGGCCAGGCGCAGTAGTTCACACCTGTAATCCCAGCACTTTGGGAGGCAGAGGTAGGAGGATCGTCTGAGCTCAGGAGTTGGAGGCCAGCTGGGCAAAATGGCAAAACCCCATCTCAAATTAAAAAAAGAAAAGTTCCAGTTTTAGCTGTTGGGTTTTTATTTTTGGGGGTTTTTTTTCCTGCAACATGGTCTCACTCTGTCACCAGGGTATAGTGGCACAATCATGACTCACTGCAATCTCCACCTCCAGAGCTCAAGCAATTCTCCCACCTCAGCCTCTCAAGTAGCTGGGACAATAGGCATATGTCCCCATCCTCAGCTAACTGCTTTTTAGTAGAAAGGGGGATCTCACTGTGTTGCCAAGTCTGGTCTCGAACTCTTGAGCTCAAGCGATCTTCCATAGAGAGGCCAAGATTACAGGTATGAGCTACAACACCCAGCCAGAATTTCCAGTTTTTAATCTGAAAACCAGAGTAACTCAGCAAATCATTCCTACACTGAGGGAAGAAACCATCCAAGAGGTATTCGTTTAGTGCTCCAAGTTCATGAACACTTTATAAGGCATCTTTCAAGTCAGGCACCAAAAAGGAAAGTGTGCTGACCAACAACGGAACAGAGAGAATTGTAATCTCATCATAACTCTACTCTGTGATGTCAAAAACTAAGACCTACCATGTTCCACCCTTCTTTTTCAAGTAGGGACAAAGACGTGAAAGATCGAAGCCAACACTCAGAACTCAAGTGACTCTGATGGCTACACCATCGAGCTACAACTCCAGGACCAGTGGATCCTTTCCAGGCCTTACTCTATTCATCTAAGAAACTCAGGAGAGCCAAACAGGCCCCCTCCTCAGCGTGGCTATGATGAATAATTAATTAGCTAGTAATAGAAAGGGAAATGTATTATCAATAGTAAATGAGATGCTTATAATTAACTTGGGAGAAAGAAGTAGAAATCAAGAAATAGCCTGAAGCTGGGCATGGTGCCTCATGCCTATAATCCCAGTGCTTTGGGGGGCCAGGTCTCCTGCTTGAGGCCAGGAGTTTGAGATCAGCCTGGGCAATATAGTGAGACTCTGTCTCTTCAAAAAAATTAAAAAATAAAGAAGTTAGCTGGGCATGATGGCATACACCTTGTAGTCCCAGCTGCTCAGGAAGCTGAGGTGGGAGGATCACTTGAGCCCAGGAGTTCAGGCTGCAGTGAGCTATGATTGTGCTGCTACACTCCAGCCTGGATGACAGAGCAGACTCTGTCTTAAAAAAAAAAAAAAAAAAAAATAGCCTGAGATGCTTATTTTCATCACAAACTGCCTTTTTCTCTGAGGCAAGGCTGTTAAACTGCTAGCATTTAGAAAGGCCTATTGCGAAGTCAAATGTTCTTGGAATTTACGTAAGTCCCAGGGCAGACTTGTTCAGCATGAGACAAACGGGGCAATGTCAGGTGATGACCAGAGGCTCTGGAAGGCTGTGCGCACGTGCAGCACACTGTCATTCATTCCTTCTGTGGTGGTGACAGAGTGGCTGCCCAAAGACTTCACATCCTCAACCTTACATTCTGTGACTATGTTGCCTTAACCTGGAAAAACGGACTTTGCAGAAGTGCGAACAAATGAAGGATCTGGAGATGGAGAGATCATCCTTGATTAGCTGGGCAAGTCCAGTGTAACCTACTTAAAAGAGGAGAGTCAGACTCAGAGAAGAAGATGGGATGGCAGAAGTGAGGTCAGAGTCATACACAGAACTTTGAAGATGCTTCACTGCTGGCTGTGAAGATGGAGGAGGAGGACACAAGCCAGGAAATGCAGGAAGTCTCTGGAACCCAGAAAATGCAGGGAAAGAGTCTCCCCTGCAGTCTCTAAAAGGAAGGCAGCCCTGTGGACACTTCTTCGACTTTGGCCTAACGAAGGCTGTTTCGGATTTCTGACTTCCAGAGCCATCATAATAAACTTGTGTTGTTTTCAGTTACTAAATGTGTGCTATTTTGTTGCAGTGGCAATAAGAAACTAATACCTTTAGGAGGCAGAGAGCCAAAGATGAAAAGGCACATTTCTCCTGTGGGCATTAGTTCAACGAATATTTATTGGGTTGCTCAAAGTTGCATGATAGCTAGATCAGCCACCCATTACCTGTCAGGCAGAATGGTAAGTGCTTTCCCTCCATTTCTCCAGTCCTCAGATTCATCCTTGTATATGCATTTATGACATTTATTAAATACCATATATTAGACACCTTCTTAAACACTTAACACATATTATCATATTTGATTCTTATAACCCTGAGATAGATCACAATCATTTTCATTTTACACAAGTGAAAACAGACGAAGGGAAGCTGAAAGTAGTTTCTCAAGGTCAAATTGCTAAAAGTGATGAAAATTTTAGCTGGTCTGCCTCCAGAGCCTGCTATTTTCCCCGTTTTCCAGATGAGTAAAATGAGGGGAACATCACACACCAAGGCCTGTTGGGGAGTCAGGGACTAGGGAAGGAATAGCAGGGGGTGGGGAGACTGGGGAGGGACAGCATTAGGAGAAATACCTAATGTAGATGACGGGGCAATGGATGCAGCAAACCACCATGGCACGTGTATTGTACCTATGTAACAAACCTGCAGGTTCTGCACATGTATCCCAGAACTTAAAGTATAATAAATGAAAAAAAAAAAAATTACCTTATGTTTAAAAAGAGTCAAGGACAAGGGGTCATTTATCTTTTAAGGAGTATAGTGACTTAAGTAAGAGACACAGAGGGCCACAGGCTCTGTCCTCTGTCTTCAAAGCATCCCTCCGGAGATCTGCATGTCACCACAGAGCCAGGTGCTTGAGGAAATTATGCTGGCAAGCAGAAATGAGCAGATACGGCTTCTGTTTGCTACTTGGTCTCACAAATGCTTATTACTTTCTCTTTACCAATTCATACCCCTCCTGTCCATCTCCTCCTGGGTTATTGCCACCCTAACCAGGTGATCCCCAAAGTCACAGTCCCTCTGTTCTTACAGGTGTGCTGGATTGCCAAAGTAAGATTATGTCCATCAAGGCTTGTATCTATGCATCCCGTGTGTCCTCAGGAAAGTCACAAGCCTTGGGCTGGTAGAAATCATAAAATCATATCTTCCATTTCTTTCCTATCAAGCTCTGCCAAGACACTTATTAGTACAGATATTAATGAATTCAGTTTTTAGTAAGTATGTCAGAAATGCTTCTCACTGAGCTTGTTCTTTTACACAGGTAGAAAGAGCAGACCTTGGTTTTAGTCCTGATTCTGTCTTGAGCTATCTGACTGGTTTTAGCTGGGGCACTTCGCTCCTGCCCACACCCCTCTCAATTATAAAATGAGAAAGGCCAAGCGCAGCGGCTCATGCCTATAATCCCAGCACTTTGGGAGGCCAAGACAAGAAGATCACTTGAAGTTAGAAGTTCAAGACCAGCCCGAGCAACAGAGCAAGTCCCACATCTCTATAAAAAAATTTAAAAATTAGCTGGGATGGTGGTGCACAACTGTGGTCCAACAGAACGCTCAGTAGATGTTAGCGATCGTCATCATCTTTATTATTATTTGGGTTTTATTAATTATTATTGTTATTGGCTCTTAAGCCAACACAATTTTTGCCACATTGCCCAGGCTGATCTCAAACTCCTGAGCTCATGCAATGCACCTGCCTCGGCTTCCCAAAGTGCTGGGACTACAGGTATGAGCCCCTGCCCCCAGCCCCTGGGTATATATTGAAAAGGATGAATAGCTGTGAGCTTGGGCAGGTTGCTCAATCTCTCAATGCCTCAGTTCCTCACCTGAGATGAATAATGCTCCCCACTTTATACACTTATGGTGAGGATTCACACAATTAGACCTAGACTAGCTAGTTAGTAAGCACTCAGTAGATGTTAGCTATAATCACCATCTTGATTATTATTAGGGCTTTATTTATTATTATTATTATTAGACAGTCTTGCTCTGTCACCCAAGCTGAAGTGCAATGGCGCAATCTCAGCTCACTGCAACCTCCGTTTCCCAGGTTCAGGCAATTTTCCTGCCTCAGCCTTCCAAGTAGCTGGGATTACAGGTGCCCACCCCCACGCCCGGTAAATTTTTTGTATTTTTAGTAGAGACGGGGTTTTGCCATGTTGGCCAGGCTGGTCTCTGAACTCCTGACCTCAGGTGATCCGCCCACCTCAGCCTCCCAAAGTGCTGGGATTACAGGCAGGAGCCACCGCACCCAGCCAGTTATTATTATTATAGACTCTTAAGCCAATTCCCAGTAGGACTTTTACCCATGTGAGGATGGAGCTCCGGCAGGACAGGGCGGTGAGCTCGTGTTAGAGCCAGTCTACTTGCTGGGAAGCAGAGAAGCCCGGGGTGCCGCCTGCCAGTATTTTTAGCAGTGATGGTGAATCACAAGCGGTTAGTGTCAGAAAGACTGAAAATTGAAATAGCTTCTAACACCTCGACAGTATTTTTACCACACTGTTTTATCTGGGCATTACAAATACATACGGTTTTAATTATATCTTGCTTTGCAGGAGAAAAAAAAAAACCCTCAACCGCTTGCCATCTCTCTCCTTTTTATTCGCATCTTTCTTCATGAACAGCAAGCCTCTGAAAATGATGGCATGAAGTGGGGTGTCTCTCGGTCAGGTGGAGCTGGCCTCCCAGGTCGCACTGAGCCCAGTGTTATGACAGGAAATGAATGCATTGTACTGAAGGCCGTTTGTGCTTCATTGTTCCTCAGGCTCAGGCCTGCGTGGGACTGTTTGTCCTCCTGCACACACAGCAGCCATTGTGTCCCCTGCAACATCCGACATGCAGCTGTGAACAGTTGTGCCCGAGCCAGTTTCTCGGCCGTAAAATTCACTGAGAAAGGAATTGTGAACAACATATAAAGTCAGGGCCCGCATTTGCTCTGGGAATGTTCTGAGCTCTCCGCATTCCTCCTGCCGCTTGGCCAAGAAAAGCAAACAAACAGTGGCCTCCTTTGATGTACGCACCTCTGGGCTATTCAGAGGTGGGACTTTTCGGGGAAGAATTGCCAATGTCTACATGGAATCTCCATTCACAACTTTCTGGACCCAGAGACCTAAGGCAACAGAATCTCTTAACTACAATGCTGTCCCTGCCACCGATCTCTGGGGCTAAGTGGTGTCCCCATTGTAAACAAAGTCAAGGGGGGGGTTCCACCCCATCATTTCACACCATGACAGCTGTGAGACTAATTTGCAGTGCGACTCTATAAACACTGTGTGGTCCTTTCAGGTTTCATATGGCCCACCTCCCATAGGACATATATTTAATTCATCAGAACATGAAATACTTGGCTGGGCACAGTGGCTCACCCCTGTAATTCCAGTACTTCTGGAGACCGAGACGAGAGCATTGCTTGAGGCCAGGAGTTCGAGACCAGCCTGAGCAATATAGCAAGACCCTATCTTTATTTTTTTTAATGAAAAATTTAAAAAAAGGAGGCCGAGCGTAGTGGCCCATGCCTATAATTCTAACACTTTGAAAGGCCAAGGTGGGTGGATCACCTGAGGTCAAGGGTTTGAGACCAACCTGGCCAACATGGCAAAACCCTGTCTCTACTGAAACTACAAAAATTAGCCAGGCATGGTGATGGGCCCCTGTAGTCCCAGCTACTTGGGAGACTGAGGCAGGAGGAGTGCTTGAACCTAGGAGGCAAAGGTTGCAATGAGCCGAGATTGTACCACTGCACTCCAGCCTGGGAGACAGAACAAGACTCTTTCTTAAAAATATATAAAAAGAAAAAAAAAAAAAAACAGGAAAAACGGCTCCCAGGCTAGAAATAGGAGTCAAGGAAGACTAAGGCAGTGAGTTCACAGATGAACATTCATATCAAGTCTTGGCAACTGTTTACATGGGACAGTTGAGGCTTGGGTTGGCTTAGCAACATTGGTCATTTTTTCTTAAGCACAGCGCCTACAATTTTGGTTGGTAAATGGTGGGGTTTATAGGCTTGGTTGTGTAAAGTGAACCAACCATCTGGGTTTTTCCTTGGACTGCAGTGGTACTCAGCGCAACATTTTGCATAAGGAGACATAAGCTAAACATTCGCTATAAAACATATATGTGTATCTACATGTGTATGTACACGTAAATATAAAACCGTGTGTGTATACTTGTCAGAATGAATCTCTAATGCTGTGAGCGGTGGCTCACACCTGTCATCCAACCCTTTGGGAGACCAAGGTGGGTGAATCACTTAAGCCCAGAAGTTCGAGACCAGCCTGAGCAACACGGTGAAACCCTGTCTCTACTAAAAAATACACAAAGTATCTGGGTGTGGTGGTGCATGCCTGTAGTCTCAGTACTAGGGAGGCTGAGGTGGGAGCATTGCTTGAGCCTGGGAAGTCAAGGCTGCAGTGACCCATGAGCATGCTACTGCCTGGGTGACAGAACAAGACCCTGCCTCAAAAAAAAAAAAATTAAATCTCTAACAAATACAATATATCAATATTTGCCAAGAAAGTTTAGAGTAAGTAGAATTTAGAAGAACACGATTTAACTAAGTCCAAATGCATAGATGTAACTTTTACTGACTGACCAAATTTCCAGTTTTCACTATTAAATGTGACTCTGATGTTCATGAACAGTGCAAAGGAGGAAACAAACTTAACTCATTCAACTTATTCTTCAGAGTCTAAAAGCCTTGTGGGGCGTATGTCCAACTTTTACACAATGGCTTTGGCATTAAAAGTCGTTGCACAGGCTGCCTGTAATCCCTGCATCTTGGGAAGCCAAGGAGGGAGGATTGCCCTGAGCCTAGAAGTTTAAGACCAGCGTGGGCAACATGTGAGACCCTGTCCCTACAAAACATTTTAAAAACTAGCTGGGCATAGTGGTGGATGCCTGTAATCCCAGCTACTGGGGAGGCTGAGGCAGGAGGATTGCTTGAGCCCAGGAGGTTGAGGCTGCAGTGAGCTGTGAGTGTGCCACTGCACCCGAGCCTGAGCAAACTTGTCTCAAAAAAAATAAAAAACACATAGAAAAATTTAAGGCCATTGCACAGTTTTCCCTGCTGCTGGAATAAATCAATCTTCTGCTAGCTCTAATTACCCTAGCAAAAGAATATTACGTTTGACCATGGATCCTAAGAACAATTCCTTTGCTAAAGGAAATCCCTGCCTTCCCTCCATTCCCAGCCCCTGAATACTGTTTTTCTTGTAACCAGCAGAGAAGAGTATAAAGGTGTTTATAGAAAGAGCATCCCTGGGAGCCCCTTTTCTGGGACAGTTATTCTCTTTCCAAACAGAGAAGGGTTCTTTTAATAATCACGTTACCAATATATTCTCAACTCTCCCCTCCCAACCGATATTTGAAGCTTGGAATGGCAATAAAAATAACATCACATAGAAGGCTAATTATATCCTTCTTCCCACCCATCCTTCTTGCCAAGTAATCTTGGGTTTTGTCACTTTGTTTTTTTTTTTCTTTTGAGATGAAAAAACAGAAGAAAGAGGAGGAGGCAGCAGAGAAAGGGAACAGATTAGACTTTAAAATAGACGTGTCAAGATGGTTCCCTGATGGTTCTGTTCCTTGATCTAGTAATTGGTAGCTTCAGACCCACTTGCTTTCACAAGCATCTAGGCAGCAGTAGATTGAGCTCCAATGAAGGGATAGGCCAGTAAGCTGAATTAACTTACTTCTCTAGCGCAACTATTGTCTTTCATGCTTTCCCGTGAAAAACAAATTTAAGCAAACACACAATATTTACATGAACAAACAACATGTAAAAAAACAAATCCATAGAAATCGGTCAGTTTCAGAGGATATTTACAAAACACTCTAAATTGGAGGTCCTTAAACTTTTTACTCATAACTCCCACCTCCACTCAAAAACAAGAAGTTTGAAAAACTATGCAGCACTTTCTCACCTGTTCTAAGGATAACATCCAAAGTTTTTCAACAGCAGTTTAAATAGTTGCCAAAGATGTAATTTCCAGTGGACTGTAAATGTTAATCTGGTGAACTAAACCCACAGATCACTTTTAAATGTGTCTCATGGAATCTAAATATCTGGACAATTTAATAGTTATTTTCATTCACTAAAAAGTATATGAAGCTGGACGCAGTGGCTCATGCCTGTAATCCCAGCACTTTGGGAGGCCAAGGCGGGTGGATCACCTAAGGTTGGGAGTTCGAGACCAACCTGGGCAATATGGTGAAACCCGTCTCTACTAAAAATACAAAACACTAGCCAGGTGTGGTGGCACGTACCTGTAATCCCAGCTACTCAGGAGGCTGAGGCAGGAGAATCACTTGAACCTGGGAGGTGGAGGTTGCAGCGAGCCAATATCACACCACCACACTTCAGCCTGGGCGTGACAGAGCAAGACTCCATGTCAAAAAAAAAAAGTATATGAAAGCTATTGTTTACTATTTCAAAATAAAATATCTTCTTTTCTTTTTATAACCATTCTATTTCTTCATATAATTTTATCGTAATGAAATTTATTCTTATCTATGTTTCTATTTTTTTTAGACAAGGTCTTACCCTGTCACCCAGGCTGGAGTACAGTGGCATGATCATAGTTCATTGCAGCCTCAAGCTTCTGGGCTCAAGAGATCCTCCTGCCTCAGCCTCCCTAGTAGGGGGGACTACAGGTACCCACTACCATGCCAAGAGACTTTTATACTTTTGTAGACATGGAATCTTGCTATGTCACCTGAGCTAGTCTCAAACTCCTGATTTCAAGCGATCCTCCCTCCTTGGCTTCCCAAAGCACTGTGATTCCAGGCATAAGCCATAGCACCAGGAATTGTTTGTTTTGTTTCAAGATAGGGTCTCACTTTGTTGCCCAGGCTGGAGTGCAGTAGGGAGATGACAGCTCACTGTAGCCTTGAACTCCTGGGCCCAAGGAATCCTCCTAGCTCAGCCTCCCAAGAAGCTAGGACTTCAGGTGCGTACTATCACACTCAATTTTTAAATTTTTTAAAATGTTTTGTAGACATGGCATTTTACTATGGCTGGGGTCACCCAGACTGGTCTTAAACTCCTGGGCTCAAGTGATCCTCCTATCTCAGCCTCCCAAAGTGCTGGGATTACAGGTGTGAGCCACTGCAACCAATGAAAAGTTGTCTTACTCATGATACTGTCATACGTCTCTGTTACAAGACAGATTTAAAAACTGCATTTATTTATGACTGGAATTTGGAAGGAGAGATCAAGGTAGATTTGTGATTTGAGGGACTGGCACAAGCCTGGGAAAGCACACAAGTTTGGTCCAGCATCATGAGCAGTGTGCTAGCAGCAAACAGCATGGGGTCTGGGACATAGCTGTTTCCACCAGTTTCTCCCAGTGAGCAAGCATCAGAATCTTGACGCAAGAAAAGAGGGAGGCAAGTAAAAGTGAAAGTGCTTTTTGAGCTGGGTGTGGTGGCTCACACCTCTAATCCCAGCACTTTGGGAGGCTGAGGTGGGCAGATCACTTGAGGTCAAGAGTTTGAGGCCAGCCTGGTCAACATGGTGAAACCCTATCTCTGCTAAAAAGACAAAAGTTAGCTGAACATGGTGGTGTGTGCCTGTAATTCTAGCTACTTGGGAGGCCGAGGCAGGAGAATCACTCAAACCAGGGAGGCCGAGGTTACAGTGAGCCGAGATCAGTCCACTGCACTCCAGCCTGGGCAACAGAGGGAGACTCCATCTCAAAAAAAAAAAAAAAAGTACTTTTTCATACAAAACTCTTTGTGATACTTTGGGAACATAAAGCAGGACTGCTTTGGTCTGAGGTATAAGACCATGCCCTAAAAGTGATGGGGAAAGTTTATCCCTACTTTTGTAAGCCACCTCTGCATGGGTGTCATGGACACCTTGAGACCGCAGCCCTGGAAAACAGCATGCAGTCACTATTTACAGCCCCAGGCCAGCATCTGCTCTGGTGGTGCCTGCCCCACAAGGGGTTGCAGACCCCAGCCCAGAATGAGAACTAAGGCTGTATCTGTGGCCAAGTCCATGATAACGGCACTGGCAATCTCAGCACGGTGTTGGCAGAGACACCCCGACATCAGCTCCAGCATCCCTAGAGCAATGATGCCTTCAGTGGTTGTGAGCGATTTCACCCACAGCTGATGAGAGCAAAGTGTCAGTACTTTTGTTCAGATGAAAGTCTGAGCTACAACTTCTGGGGTGACATCTCCTAAAGGAGACCAGAAAAAATGGCCAACACTCAAAAGACATATTTGCAAACCCACGTGAAACATCAACTAGGACCCCCTCAAAAAAACTGGTATGGGCTTTGAAGAGTCCCAGAGGTACTACAATAGCAGAGGAAAGCCAGAACCAAGAAAGCATTGCTCTTCTGCATGGATCTGCCTGTATTTATTTATTTGCAAGGCAGAAACTAGGAATTTTCCAGTCCTGCAGAGCACCCAATCAAATTAAGGGAAAATAGTATTACTGTGGATCAAATCAGAATGAAGGGTAGAGGCTGCAAAGAAAAGCAGAAGTTAGTGTGGCAAGACCAACCTTCTAATTCTCTACAAGAGGAGAGAGAGGGAAAAAAAGAGGCATTTGTTGATAATCAGTGTCTAGTTCCAATAAACAGAATGCTCAACAGCCGATTTTAATGGTCTTTTTCTTTTTTCTTTTTTTTTTTTTTTTGAGATGGAGTCTCACTCTGTCACCCATGCTGGAGTGCAGTGGCATGATCTTGGCTCACTGCAACCCCTGCCTTCTGGGTTCAAGCCATTCTCCTGCCTCAGTCTCCCGAGCACTTGGGATTACAGGCACCTGCCACCACACCTGGCTAATTTTACTATTTTTTGTAGAGACAGGGTTTCACCCTGTTGGCCAGGCTGTTCTCGAACTCCCAACCTCAAGTGTTCCGCCAGCCTCAGCCTCCCAAAGTGCTGGGATTACAGGTGTGAGCCACCACACCCAGCCCTATTTTAGTTGTCTTTTCAGAGAGTTTGAAGACCTATGAATGAGAAATAATGTAGGTATATACTAAGTGTATCATGGATGCCTAAAACACATGTCTCTCTCTTCTCTATGAGAAAAACGGAGGGGTGCAGGCAGGAAAATAATCTGTACTCTAGAGAAGATGACATTTTTTTAAAATGAGGCCCTACTTCTAGCAAATTGCCAAAAAATGTAAAATTGGTAGGCAGCTGAGCCCGGCACAGAACATGCTCCGAAAAGAACTTGCTGTATCCACTAGCATTCTCCCTCTGGGTTTTTAATTTTTCCCAGAAAGATGAGAAAACAATCCTGTACTAAAACAGCTCTGAGCAGGGAAAGCATTTTGGCTTCTGAAGACAGGTCAGCATGTGCTCACATTCCCAGAATCCCCCAGACCCACCCCCAATTAGCATGAAACTCCCTAAACCCCAGTTAGCTCTGCAGAGGTGAAGATGAATGCTAGGCTCTGTTGCGTGGCTGGGTGAAGAAAGCCGTCAAGGTCTCTCCCAATCCCAACTTCAGCAAGTCTGCAGGCCTCTGTCCATAGTCCACTACTTGGTTCATTTCTAGATGACTTACCTAGTTTGGTTTCTTTCACAAAATTGTAAGTTCTTTTCTTCTTCCTCTGCGTTCTCCATATTACCCAGGACATTGGATGGGGCTTAATAAATACTGTTCAATTGATTTGATACACATTATTCAATTGCGAGCAAATAAGCCATTATCAGAGAGAATTTTGCATAGTCCTGAAAAAATTTAACCTCCGCAGATCCTTTAAAAGTGAATGTCCTGTAGTAGCGTAATTGCAGTGGATGCATTCTGATGTTGCCTGGGCCAGATCCTGTGTAGCTGTGGGAATCTGGGAGTTATATTTTGGACTGATAATTATGGACAGTGGGAAAAGACGCAAAAAATGGGAGCAAAGGAAGTTCTAGGATATGCCAGACAATTTTTATATATGCAAACTCATTCATTTACATGACAACACTGAGAAGTATTCATTTTACAGATGAAAAAAGCAAAGTTCATAAATCTGTGAGAAACTGAATCAGGGAAAAAACTATAACTCAGATCAAACAGACTCTGAATTTGGGCTCTTTTCAGCACACCAGAGGTCCTCCTGTGGGATGGCAGAAGTCAGGGTTAGGGAATCCGGATGTCTGCTAAAGCTGGCTGACCTCAGGCTCTTGTGTTGGTCCCAGCCCCTGCCAACCCCTTTCCTTTCCTCAGCATCAGGCAAGGGTTTAATGTCACAGATCCGCCAGAGCAAAGTGCCCCACTTCCCACAAAAATTTCCTATCCAAATCCTGAGTTCGTTGTACTCTTCCAGGCACACAGCAGCCATTTATTTAAAGGAATCAAATAAGAAAGGGGCTTTCCTGAGACTGGCGTCCCAGGTTCATGCCTGTAATCCCAGAACTTTGGGAGGCCAAGGTGGGTGGATCACTTGAGGTCAGGAGTTCAAGACCAGCCTGGCCAACATGGTAAAAATCCATCTCTACCAAAAATACAAAAATTAGCCAGGCATTGTGGGTAGGTGCCTGTAATCCCGGGTACTCAGGAGGCTGAGATAGGAGAATCACTTGAACCTGGGAGGTGGAGGTTGCAATGATCCGAGATCATGCCACTGCACTCTGGCCTGGGCGGCAAAGCCACAGAACATCAAATGCACCATCCGGGAGAGGACTCAGGTTAGGGTGGTATTGCATTGTCAGCATTTACTTTCTTCTTGCCTCTGCTGAAGTAAAAAAAAAGTAAATAACAAATTTCAGTGTCTGGTTCCCTGAAGATGATATAACCCACAGTCTCCTCTTTTTTTTTTTTTAATCCTGTCTTGCTGTGGGAATCTGGGAGTTACATTTTGGACTTACAGAGTCTCACTCTGTCACTCAGGCTCGAGTACAATGGTGTGATCTCTGCTCACTGCAGCCTCTGCCTCCACGGGTTCAAGCAATTCTCCTGCCTCAGCCTCCCAAGTAGCTGGGACTACAGGCACCCACCACCACACCCAGCTAATTTTTGTATTTTTAGTAGACACAGGGTTTCACCATGTTGGTCAGGCTGGTTTTGAATCCCTGACTTCAAGTGATCCAGCCTCCTCAGCCTCCCAAAGTGCTAGGATTACAGGTGTGGGCCATCGAGACCGGTCCTCATGGTCTCCTCTTAAGATCTCATATTTATATCAGATTTCCAGACTGGCACTCACAATGACTGCTAGCTTCATATTCATTGGTAAGCCCAGGTATGAGAAACAATAGATCCTTGAATTGTTATCAACCAAGGAGGCTAGCAGGCAAGAGGGAAAGGCTAGAGTTAAACTGATGCCATTTGTATCATTTGCTGCCAGGAGGCAAGAAGTTAAGTTCGCTAGACAAAACAGAAGGCCGGGTGCAGCGGCTCAACCCTGTAATCCCAGCACTCTGGCAGGCTGAGGT